TAAACTTTTTGTTTAGTTGGTTAACACCCCTGTGTCCCGTTGGGGAGATTTTCCTTTACTTCCTTTCCTAAAGACACACCAGAAAGTGAGAGGAAATCTCTACATCACCTTATCTAAGATTCCATCTTCAGGGCCTAAGTAAAATGTGCCACAAATGAAACATTATTAAGCCACCTTAAGATAATTAACTTTTTTATATTCTCTCTAGGTTCATTGTTTATAAAGCAGTGTTTACAAATTGTGGAAAAAATAAAATGTATTTTGGTGATAGATTCCCCAATCAAAATGCAATGCAAATAAGTAGAAAACTGTACCATGTTGCTTTATACATTAAAAACTGGTCAGAATTTAGACCTGTAAAGAGGGAGGGGTTGCAGAAGGATATAACTATTTATTATAGGCATATGTCCAGACATCAGTCATATGATGGAAATAAATGAAGCAAGCAGTACGAAGTAAGGATGGGTGCAGGTTAGACAACATTCCATAGAGGGCACAGGAGACAATGCTGGCAGAGCAGCTGCACATACTGCCAATGCTAAGTCTGCAGAGTGTGAAATTCGGCTGAGGAAGGCTGGAAATAAAGGGCACAGCTTATATACTTCAATAGGACATTTCAAAAGCTTTACATTAAAGAGGTTATCTAGCTTTACCACTAGGAATGAAACAAAAGCAGTTAAAAGGAAAAATAAACATTGCCAATAAAACATAGCATAAAGAGGAACTGTTCAGACAACAGATATGCACATTTGTTGGTGATTAAAGCTGGGAATGCACTCGCAGATTTTCAGACAAACTTTCATGTGAAAAATCTCGTCAGAACCTTCGATAATGCCATCAGCGACTTCACAAATGTTGTTTGAAATTTGCCATTTTTCGAAAGAAAGGAGTTTCCTATAGTTCTTTTCTGAAAGATTCTCATTAAGATCAGCCTATTTTTAAATGTCCTTTGTTTGCATTCTAGCTGGCTGAGTTTTGTAATCAGACCCAAGGTAGCTAATTTATGTAGCGGACTAGCTTGATACATTAGACCAGACCTGGGCATTTTATGGCCAGCAGGCCACTTTCAGCCCCTTGGCTGTCCCTGTGCAGCCCGCGGTCTGGATAGGAACTGATCATCGACCTGTGCCTCCAAGGCCGATGCATTCACTGCTAGCCATAGCCCAGCGCAGGCCCCCTCCTCTTCAGTTGTCGGTTGCTAGGACCATTGGCACCCTAGCAACTAATGACATAAAAGTGTCCACCTTCTCTGCAGTCATTGGTTGCTAGGACAGCTGACATCCTAGCAACCAGTGATATCAAATGTGCTCCCAGCCAATCAGCTGCTGTCACTGTTCGAGTATTCTGACAGCAGCACATCAGCCGCTATCAGAATACAACAGCCCAGTGGATAATTAATTCGCTAAACAGCATAGATGAAAGAATCTTTTATTCTTTTTCATTCAGCCCCAAGGTTGAACAAAATCATATAACAGTGTACAGCCAGCTTTAGCACTGTAGTCTTGTAGTAAGTGTACAGATCAAATTAAATGCCCCTTTTACCTGCAGAATTTATAGTTGGAGGTTAGTTGTTTGTTGTGAATAAGAAGTCATTTTCTTGTTAGCACACATTTGATACATAACCCCACAAAAGCTTTCTTTTGGACCCAAATTGTTCTGCTGCCTTGAGGTGCATTATCACACACATGTTTAAATAAGCTACAGTAAAACAATCCACTCATTTACAATAGTTCTGTGCTGTAATATCTGTTTTAGTAACACGTTGTAAAATGTGTTAGTTTAATGCATAAACATGAATGGTCCCCAATGGGGTTTTACAGACAAAGTTAGCTTGTCTGTTTGCATTTTGCCGTCTTTGTTTTACTCATCTTCTGTTTTGATAATATCCTGAAACATTTTACAGAAATATTTATGACGTACATAAACATATAATCTATAACTCATACCTGGCAGCTAAATTCTCACCATATCAGGACACAGCGTACAAAATATCAGACAGTGTCATCACAACATAGGCAAAAAACTCTGCAGGGCCCATAGACCTGGGAGGTAAGCGTGGGGGCAGTTTGAGCATTTTTCAAACATGCCGTCTTCTTTTCACCTCATTGCATCAATGGTGTGCTGGAAGCAGCATTCATGCTTGAAATAATATAGTAGGAATGCAGACAGAAGAAAAGCGAGACTCTAGTTTATACTCTGCATCAAGATCCAGTTCTTCTATTCTTTTCTACTTAAGGTTAAAAGAGACATCGAGTTTTTCCTCTACATTTTAAATATAGAGCCCCATTCAATGTGCCTCTCCTGGAATCAGTTTTCCTTGTAATGTATACACAGGGTAAACACATGATACCTCCTCCTCTCTTCCATAGTATGCTCTGTAATGGTATATCAAATCAAAGCATCCCATAAATCAGGTAGTATTACCCAACAGGGGGTGGCTTTATTTGTAACACTCGCCAGGGAGGAAGTTGATGTCTAAATGTAAACACGGTAGTAGGAAAGGTTACAGGCACTTTGGGCCTAATGAAGCAGTACCACAAACTATCTGTACTGACCCAGAGGCAACAATCACACTGAAACTTTCATATGGAAATGTCATTCTCCAAGGCAAATTTGTATTGGATTAGTGGCTGTGGGGCACACAATACTCATTGCACATAAAGCCCACTGTGGCCTGAGCTTACACTAGTAATGTAGAACTGCTGTTAGATGGATACGCTGTCATAAAACAGAACTTTTTTTCAGGTCCCCTATATCACAGCTCCAAAGTATCTTTTTAAAAGGACATGGTCATCAATGAACACTTTTCAGGCTGCTCAAGCACATCATATGTTTGGAATTAGTGCTTTAATGATGCTGTCCTTGTTATGGCAATCCATCACACCTTTTGGCAATAATAGCCCTGTAGATTTCTTTACCCTCTGACACTTTTAGGAATGTCACAGGCTTTGTGTGGTAGAACCTGTACTGGCCTTGATGTCAAAAAGGACACTGGCTGCTGTCATTGAGGCTTCCAACACCGGATGCTGGGTGTGGGGGAAAGCCTGTGTGTCAGCAGTGACAGCAGTGAGTTCCAGCTCTGTCACTCACAGAGCGATGGAGGCTTTACAGGCAGCAGCAGGACACCCTGGTGGGCCAGTAGGGAGGAGCAGTGAGCATGCACTTCCCCGCAGCCCTGGTGTACCCTGAAGGGAAGTGGTCCAATGTTCTGATTTGAGTACATTGCAGTGTTTACTTTTTTTTTACTTTATTGAAATGTCACAAAGTGACAATCCATTCAGTTCTACACAGCCCAGTATGTTGCAAGGTGGTGTACTGCATTGCAATGCACTGCAGAGAAAACAATAAGTACTGTACGTAGCATACACAGTAATGGTGTGAACTGACTCCATAGTAAACAAGGCAAATTGCATTAAGACTGTGCTAGGCAGCAATGCCTGGCCTAAAACACCTGGTGTGAATGGGCCCTTAGTGACAAAAAACCATAACGAACTGCTATGCAAGGAAAGCAACTGTAAACCGTTTATTTATGTGAGCAGACTGAAAAGTGAATCTTGATGACAGTGTAACTAAACAGCAGGAAGCAAAGCCCAAACAATTGAAGGCTTACTGTTCCTCTTTTATTGAAACATCCCATATTAGAACTGAAAGATTCAAACCGCACTGGAACATGACAGTCTGGATCTGACTGCTGGATATGGGCAATCAATTAAACTTTTTCTGCTGTGCTAAACTCTTAAATTCCCCTGAACAGTGACAGTGTTTTTTTTTTTTACCTTATACTATTTCCTGACAATGTAAAACACACACACAAAATACTGCATCATGGCATCATCCCTTATATAGGCCGTATGAATGTCACCTCATTGTTATTAGTGAAAGGAAAAATACTGGGCTGCAATTAAATGTTGGCCAGCACAGCAGCCCATATTGTTGGCTAAGCAACCCTGTAAAGCCAGGTCTAACGTAGGGCTTTTTTTGTGCTGCGAGGACTGAATCACTAACACAAATTGTATCTATTCAGCTGACTTCAAGTTCCCCCGAGGAGTAATTTTCCACTTGCTAAAGTTTGCTTATATATCATCATTACAAATCCAGATTCGCCTATCGGCTTATTTAGTGAAGCTGCACAAGGAACCGGAATTCATTACCCAACCAGGTTCAGGCTTGATGAAATCATATTAATATAAATTTGCTGATTGGATGCTGTGGGTAACTCGCTTTACAAATTGTTTATTGCCTGGGCAGGTCTGCATATCACTAGATGAGGGGGGTTGTGCCCATCACGTCTTTGCTTACCTTTGCCAATCTCTCACTGCCACAATAAATAAATTGAAGAAGCCCCGCAGATCATTACTCGTGCAAAAGTTTATCAGCACTTCCCGACTTGCAATGGAAAGTGCGTGCTTTATGCAGGTTCACCTAAGTTGCAACATTTCTCACATGCAAGGATCAAAACAGCAAAAAAGCTGCGGCAATTTATTTTCTTCAACAAGATAAATGAGGCCCACTGTATTCAGACAGACCGGAGAGCCAGGAATTGATAGGAGATGCTATTAAACAATATCTCAGCCTTGAATTAATGATGTAGTTGTCATCTCACACTTGACACAACATACAGCAGCAGTGCAGCAATTTGTCCAAGTCAGTCCAGAAGGGAGTAACAACCCTGTATTATTTATGGGCATTCACCACTAAGCACAGGCCAGCGATTTGGTTTTAAAAGAACATTTCGTACTGGCAGAAGTATGTTACATTCATATGACTCTGGAAAGACTGTGGCTTGTCTGGAGCAGAGAGTAGCTAAGAGAAGCAAGGCAACAAGAAAACTGCTATATTTGTAACAAGGCTTACTTGGCGTATGAAGCGTCTCGCTGCTTTCTGCTTCGGGCAAAGGAATTTCACAAGATTACTGCTTATGCAAACATGGGCAGAAATCAGAATTGGGCAGCATGCAATACAGAGGAATTATGGAGAAATACATGTGAACATCTACTTACAGCTACTGCTCCAGGACTTCAGCAGAGACTTTATGCTAATCTCAAAAAACACCGAATCCTGTAAGCTTAACATCATGCCTGTGGCGGCTGTGGTTACCCAGTAGTTGGGGTGGTCAGCTTTGTCAAAGTGTTTCTCAAAGGCAGAGAAGTGCTGGCCTCCCGTGTCGCTGCTTCATTGCCATGCAGTAGTCTCTCAGTGACGCACGGATATGGGAAAATTGCTGTTCAATGCAGAAGGACTGGATAGAAAGAGGGGGGAGTAGGTTGTGGAAACAAGAGGAGAAAAGCTTCAAGTTTGCTGTCAGGAAGGTCTCAAGGACATATTCACCTCTTCTGCAGTGGAAACATGTCACCTTATGGAAAGAGCCCCCAGCATGATTTCACTTGGCACCAGACTTGTTAGTAAACAGACGTGGAGAGGGCTGACCAGGAAGCCCACAAGCGCTCTCGCCAGCTCCTGGATCCACTCAGGAAGAGAACTAGTTTAAGAAATGTCACAGCCTGAGCTGGGGCTCATGTGTCGTTCATAGCAGCAGCTGCTGGTCACAAAGCGTTATCCCCTTGCAGAAGCCCTTCCTGTGGCATTCTTTCCAGGCTCCACACACCCTGTCACTGAGCTCTGACTCTCAGCATGTGCCGTGACGGTGCAGAGCACAGCAGCCTGCCTAATGCACTTGAGATGCTGCTGCTGCTGCTGCTGCTGGCTAATGGAAGGGGAGGGTGATGTCATGAAGCGCTCTGGCTCCACGACTTTGTATCAGCAGCTCTTAGATATTGCTCAGATCCTTGCAAAGTGTCTGTTTCAGCTTCTTATGAATGTCTTTGATGTCTGCTCTCCCACTCAGGAGCATGATAAGAGGGTTTGTGTTCACTACACAGCAAATCAATTCTGGCCACTTTACAACACATACTTACTATTAAAAAAACAAATGCACTTAACAGCATCTTTGGCTACATGCTTGTACATCAGAAATATGGCAAGCGTTCGGCCATTACTGCATGATGGAGTGAAATGAGGATTAAAAACAAAAATGAATTACATCAGAGATCTCCTACATACTGTATAGAGCAGATTTCACAAACTTTATTCATGCAAAGAAGGAGTTAACTTATCCAGCAACTGTAGCCAACATGTACACATGCCCCATGAAATGGTCAGGTTCCAGGATTTTGTTCTGAGCAGGCTACCGAATGAAACCGGTCATCTGATTACATAGGATCAGCCATTATTTCTCCTTATCTAATGACCTCTGTAAGGTCATTTAGTAGGTCACATTAGGAAAAAGACTATCATAAGAACATCCAGTTCTTAAAGAACAACTCCGGGCAGAATAAAACGGAACCTAACCCTGCACTGCAAGGGTTAAGTGCTCTTTTTTGTCTAGTGTCTAAAATATCAAAGATATACACACCCAAACCTCCATCCTGCCTGGCTGCTAGACCGATCCCTGCAGCCTCTCTCCCCCCTCCGCTCCAGTGATGGCATGTGCCTCAGAGTCCTCACGTCTAATGCAATGCATTAGGCATGATGACTCACGGATCCTTAGACCGCCAGAGTGCAGGGGCTGTTCTGGCTGCCAGTCAAGACAGAGGTTTGGTTGAGCATATTCGTGTTTTTTTAGACCCTAGACGAAAACGAGCACTTAACCCTTTGCTGTGCGGGGGTAACCCCACTGCAAGGGTTGTTTTATTCTCCCCATAATTTTTCTACATCACACTGGGTAAGGTTATGCTACAGCCAAGTAGTGATTGTGTGACCATCTGCTGATCTATGATATATGAGGGTTCTTTCTCTGCTGTGTCATAGCACATCAGTATATGAGAATATGCCCCCTGATATCATGTGTCAGATATATGGTATGCTAGGATATGTCCACCTCTAATCATGTACCATATTAAGCTGCTGGGGCTGCAGGTACCCATCATTCACAGGGTAGAATGTGGGTCATGGGTGTTCATTAGGTATGTGCTGCTACTCATGTCACTGGTAAGCCAAGGACTCAGATATCATGAAGCCTGTAAACAGCAGCCAGTAGTACAATAGATAATGGAATTCCCCAGCTACTACTGGCCAGCTGTATGTCAAGTACTTCATGCTGACATATACATAGCTGGCTTTCTAGTCTATGTAGTAGAACAACAGCCTAAGGCAGGGCTGGACAAATCCCCGGAGCCATGTAGCCATTGCTCCTTCAAATTACAGCTGGTACCTAACTTTTGAGGTTTACTCTAGTTGTGGTCAATGGACCTGGCTCCTGGATTGGACAGACTGACACCTAAAAATAATTCTGCTGGCTCCTGGATTGGACAGACTGACACCTAAAAATAATCCTGCTGGCTCCTGGATTGGACAGACTGGCTCTTGAAATCCATAATAATTTGCCCACCTCTGGCCTAAAGTCAATCTAAACTCCCAAAAGGAGAGTGGTTACAGGACAGACCTGTAGTGAAAGAATGATACTTTCTAAATGACATACTTTTACATCAGGGAATAATACAAAAACACAAGTTCACAGCATCTAATTAGTATATCCATCCTTGTGCTGTTTCTAAGACTTTCAGCTCGTCATCTCAGTTTGATAATATAGGTTTTTAATGGTTCATTTTACAGTAATTAAGCGATCGCCTCTGTTGGTTACCCAATGTCTTCAATAGCTCCCACTCTGAAAGCTTGTACTGTATATATAACACACTGGAGAGCTGATAAGATGAATGCTCAGACATATAATAAAATGATCTCTGAAGCTGAACATCATGGTGCTTACTGCTTCATTAACAGCTGCTGTCAGACAACTGTCCTGTACTACAACAATGGTTCTTGTACTCGTGTTCTTCTGCCGCTAAGCATTCTCTACAAGGCAACTTAGAAAAGGAAAGGGCAGAAAGGGACAGCAAACCTCCCCTAATTACTGGCAAGCGTATACTTTCTAAAAAGATGACAATGAACTACAACATTCAATTGCTCAGAATGCAGGCAATGCTTAGCTGTCGGAAAGTAACTCAAAAACTGAATCGTAGCAACGTTTTCATCTACAGTGAATCGGACTTTCCTATAAAAACGAATCCAACATCATTTTATTACAAAGCTCCAAACTGCAGAAATCCATGGGTTACCACACTTAAAGGTCCCCACACACCTTACGATAATCGCGGGAAATCCCGCGATCGTACGATTATCGTAAGGTTTGTGGAAGCCGTGCGACCTCTACTACTGTAAACCCGCCGAGCCTGTTCGAAAACCCGCCGAGCATCGTACGATGTTCGGCGGGTTTGTGGCATGTCCGTACGATAACAGCCGTACGGGCCGGTGTGCGCAAGCGCACACTGCCCGTTCGGCATTGCGGTCATCGGAAGCCCGCCCCTCAGGGGGCGTGGCTTGCGATCATCGCAAGTACGATCTGCCTATGCAACATAGGCAGATCGTACGTTTTTTTAAGTACCTTACAACCATCGCAAGACAAAAGTATTGCGATGGTTGGTGTGTGCCCAGCCTTACAAATCATCACCCTTTGCTCAAAATCCAGATTGTGCTTTACATCAAATAACACCACAAATAGCTGAACGTGGCATTCTTTTAGGGCTTGTTCATACAAATGTGACTGAAAACGGTGTATTATATATGACTTAATATTTAAATAGTACCCTCAGCACAGAAAATGGAATTCCTCCAGTATGCCTTTCATTGGACACAGGGGGCAAAAATATGTGTCATATGAAATGATTTAACACATTGATTACTCCATTACCCAAAAGCTGGCCATGCAGTGCTTGAATTTCAATTTGCTGACATGGTGGGTGGCTCGATCGGCATCCATCCCTTGGACAAAAGTAGCCGGTCTAAAAATACTCAAACAGCCAATCAGCTGCAGCCAATGTTTGGGTATTTTGACAGTGGCACACATGCTCAAGTGCATTGTATGGCCAATTGAGCTCATTGCAAGGCCCGTTTAAGTCTTTTTGGAACTTTAGTGTGGAAAAACCAAAGCAGGGATATGTAGAAGTGATAACACATCCGTTTACTTCATCCACATAAAATCAGACATGCAGTACTTTGTTTCAGCGCAGCGGGTGGGACATAGTTCAACTGCATCACACCCAGCTGTGCCAGCAGAACTAAATGAAATGCTGCTGTGTGTTTTTTACAGAGGCTGGTGTGAATTGGCCCTAAAGCAGATCTGGAAAGAGTGAGGAAGGGTTTTGTTGGGTATAGCTGGAGTTACACTTTAAGCAAACTCCAGCCAGGAACTACTTATTACAGGCAATTATATAGCACCAGCAATTTACTTAGTACTTAAAAAGACTGGATATTCATATTGACTGTCTCAATTTAGACAGGATTCAATGAAGCTATCAGTAAGTCCTTGGAGTGTTGGAGGAAACCCATGCAAACCCATAAGAGTATGCAAACCCCATGAAGAATGTGTTCTGGGCGGGACATGAACTGAGGACCCCAGTGCTGCACGGCAGAATTGCTAACTACTAAGCCACTGAGCTGCTCCCCAACACTTTTTAACCACTAGACCAGGGGTGGGAAACCTTTTTTCTCCTAAAGGCCATTTGGAGTTTTATAAGATCATTTGTGGGCCATACAAAATGATCAACTTAAATATAAGCCTGCTATATTTGGTCAAACATTTAATTAACTCACCCTTAATGTGATGGCTGGAACTGCTTCTCTTTGGTGAGGCGTGTGATGTTAGCTGGTATTGATGATGTTGCTACTTGCATCTGCTCTTCCAGGGCGTCCAGGACACATTCCAGCAATACCACCCTCTCTCCAAGCACCCACCAGTGGACACACTCCAGCAATACCCCGCCCCAGGATACACACACCCCATACTCACCAATACCGATACCCCACACCTTCACACCGCTATTGCCCGCTATATACTGGAGAGAGTTGCAACCGGGACGAATCCCGACACTACTGTCGAGCTCCACCCAGCTGGCTGATAAGACAGCAGGCTCTGGCTATCTAGAGGCTGTGCCCACCCCCTACCCCGTCCGTTCCTCCATTTAGCGCTGGAGGATCGGAGGGGGGAATCCCTGCGGGGAGCGGAGACCAACAGTCACCGCTCTCTGCAGGGAGATGATCGGAAAGTGAGCTAGCAACAGTATGCGTTCGCTCACTTCCCGATCAATAGAGCCGACGTGTAACAGTTTCAATGTCACACGTCGGCTCTAATTATGAGGATGAGTGAAAATCACTCACCTCATAGTTCATAGTTCTCCTTTAAATAACAGATGTAACTTTCACGTACAATGCTCCCGTATACAGCTAATTTGCAGCCACCGCTCAGCATGCCAAGGTTATCTCAGGATCCTCAGCGATGGCATTTACAAGTAAGTGCCTAGAATGTCCTCCTTTTAACTCACATCTAAGTTTGTATCAATCACAAGTGCATGCTGGAAAGACTTTTCATACATAATACAGGAAGAGTCAGATTTGTATCTTTTGCACACGTCTGTACAGACAGGGTCATAGCTGCATGTTATACTCACCCTGTGTTACATGCACATCATTCTGCAAACATGTCATTTTGTAAATGTTTGTATTCAGATGCAAAGGCTAAAACAGTAGAGAGGGGTTGGAGCCGGTGTAAAGCTGGCCATACACCTTACAACCATCGCAAGA